CCCCAAAACCCCAAAACCCCAAAACCAAGTAAAATTGAGAATGGAGTATAATCATTTTTATTTGTTACAAATTGTATCACTTTTATAATACTCTATCTAAAAATGCTAGTTAATCAGAGACTATTTGCTTATAGACATCCCTTCCAGCCCATAAAATATTATGCTCACTCTCATAAAAATTGCTCTCAATTTACTCTCTAGGTGTCTTAAATGTTTTTATCATTTAAGCAGCGTCATCATTATCAACAGCTTAATCTTGATTGGCAAATGCAACAAATATCGGTACATCAATTTCCTTATAATATTCAACTAAGTACTCTATCTTTTTCATGAACATTAGCTCAGTTTTAGCCTAATATGGTCCATATTAGGCTATTGGATCGGCAACATATATTTTTTAATCTTTTTCATCAGAATTTTTCTAAGGAATTTGAGTCTCTGTATTTTACCTTAATACTATTTTTGAAGGTTCAGTTAAGCAAGTTTCTTCTAAGAAGGCAAGATATTCGGGGTCTTTGATTTTTAAATCAAAATATGGAGACTACCAAAGAAAAACTGAGAATAGATTTTAACTATATCGCAACTTATATAGTCTTTAAACAGCAATGGAAACTCTCACACCCAAACTATATCCATAGTTAATGAACTATATAGCAGCTGGTGATTCTGAATAGAGATCCTAGTAGTAATTAATCACTTTCAGAGTGAACTAATATGCATCTTCAAAATAATCTTCTATAGAATTAATGACCCCTCTCTCTCCTTCACTATAGCCAAAGCCAAGACTATCATATCCCACAAAATCGTAGCCGTTTTCAGCGAAAATTTTGGCTATATAGCAGAGCTTATCTACATAAGATCCCATTCCATGAGTGTAGACAATTACAGCCTTAGGAGGAGCTTTTTAAAATAATTCAGATCTCACCTATTGATAGGTCTTTAACTTGCTCTTATTGTCATGTACAGATATTAATTCAATGAAATCTTTATTTGTCCAAGATTGAGTGCTTGAGCTTTATTAAATTAGGTTAGTTTCCATACTATTTCGCAAATTTATATAAAATATTATTTTATTGTTTAATTTGAGATAAAGTTTTAGACTTAACTCAAATCATATCAAATTTTTGTCATGGGGTTTTGGGGTTTTGGGGTTTTGGGGTTTTGGGG